TCTCTCTCTCTCTCTCTCTCTCTCTCTCTCTCTCTCTCTCTCTCTCTTTCTCTCTCTCTCTCTTTCTCTCTTTTTCCCTATATATTCAATTGATTGTTTCCCCTGATCTTGCATCAAGTCAATTGACCACATTTTTTTAAGATGCTAAAGTGATTTGTGCACAACAATCTGTAAACATTATCAATCTTGAAAGTTTTTTGTAGCAGTTGTTTGGACATAAGAGGGTCACATGTGGGTTGTATTAGGTAGGCTTGACACCCTTTTTCTTTGCCTTGATATATGAACCTGCCCTGCTATCCTCACTCTCCTCTTCATCTCTCAGGAGCAGAACGAGTGATCTCTCTGAAGATGGAGATCCCCGGCTCCATGCCTCCTCTCATCCAGGAGATGCTGGAGAACTCTGAGGGGCTGGAGGGCCATGGAGCAGGAGGGAAAGGAGTCGGAAAAGGAAGAGCAGAAGGCCGAGAGGAGGACAAAACAGAGCCTGAACACTTATATCGGAGTTTGTCACCCAACTCGGACATCTCTGACTGCTCTGCTCACTCCCTTCCTACCTAAAGAACTGGATAGGGCAGAGCTGTCGAATCTGGATGATTGAACTGAAAACGGATTATTGGTGACATTTTTTATCTACAATGCTGTTGAGACTGAACTGTTCTCTAACTTCATGCCACAAAGGCAAAAACTTTTTTTTTCTGACATTATGTTCAATGTTTAATCAATTTAAGGTGGGTTTTGCATTCTCATTGGGGACAGAATAAACCAAACACGTGTCCTGTGTTTTTTCCCCCTGTCATCTTACTTTAATTTAATTTCAGTTTTGCATTTCAGGCCTACGACACATTTCAGAACAGTTGGGACAGTAATGCTTTTGCTATTCTGTAACATGGCCTCCCTTTCACAACATTCAGAAGTATTCAGACATCGAGGTAAACAAGCCGTCGTAGGGTTTCAGATGTTTCTTTGTTATGGTTGCATCTTTTTGTTTCTAAGTTTACCACAGATTTTTTTTCTGGGACAGGTCAGTCCAGTACCTTTGCCAATTTCTACGTCTAAGTCTTTGTGATGTGGCTTTGTTTTGTCTGGGTGCTCCTGGAAAAGGTCTTTTGGCGGTAAATGTACATAGAGCCTGGCTATAGGATTTAGTTGTCAGCGTCCTTAAAAGTAGTGTTTTACCTAAGACAACCAAACAGATTACACAATAACCTCACTTTGACCCAATCCCCCTGTCCCTAAGCACATAAGAAGGAGCTTCGAGAAGAAAGAAATTTCCTTTTAACAGGAAGAAATCTCTCAGAGAACCAGACTTGGTGACCATGACCATCAGCCTCAACCAGCTGGAGTTTGAGACGACAGGAAAGGGGGCCAACAGACGTCACAACAGCAGTTCCTTGATATCTGTTGAGTAAAAGGAGAAACAAGTTAATAACAATGATGTCTCTTGGAGAAAAAGAAAAAAAAAAAGAGTGAGGAAAGGTGCATTATAAGGTCTTCAAAACATAATGTGAAGAGCAGAATTTTAAGTTCTATGTTGAATTTCGAAGAAAGAAAAGTCATTTTTCTGCCTCAGTAAGGTTTAACAGGTATTTGTGAGTGTAGTTCTGTATCATAGTGCCTGAAAAAATTTTCCAACCTTCCCTACCGTATATGTTCTGTTGATTAAATCTTTCCCTTTAAAGAGAGAAATTTGCAAATCCCTTCTGATCTTTTTTTTTCTTTCCCTTTTTAAAAGGAATTATATTTTTCAACAGTTCAATAATTCTCTGTAGAAATCGGCTACCTTTCTTTTTTCTTAAAGCCCTATGATGACAATTTTGTAGTTAAATTTTTTTTTTTTTTTAAGTTTTTTCGTTTTTGTTTGGTTATTTGTTTTGCTGAATTTTGTGGTGCAGAGCTGAAATGCAAAAATGTATGTATGATGATGAACCAAGTGACACTGAAACATGTTGGGTTCATTCTGTGTACAGTAATCCAAAGTCTACGTAAACAAAGGAATCATTTTTACTTCATTGGCGTGTTCTTTCCATGGAGGCCCTCGTTTCACATTCTGGGCTTTCGGTAAAAGTTTACCATAAGCAATGAGCAATGATAAAAAATGTTAAATATCAGATGAAGATCGAAAGGATTGCTCTTACATTTCTTTTGATCTACCAAAAAAAAGAACGAAAAAGTCAATTTTAGCAAAACTATCACATGTAATATAGTTGTACATAACAAAGGTTGTGAAAAACATTTAAACTAAGACTAAAGTTATTTTCCTAAATGTACATGTTTATATACTGTATTGTTTCCCAGCTCCAGCTACCCTTCCTCAGCTTTGTATTTCAAGAAAAATTATAGATTTCTTATCAAGTTTTCATCACACTTCTAGCCAAACTTGGGGTGTGGTTTCAATTAACTCAAAATGTGATGAAGCAACAACACTGTTAACTCCTGCCAAACACCTTTATGTATTTTCTTTGTATATCCTGCATCAATTCCTCTCAAAATCTGTTTACACAGCTTTACTGCCTCACTATGAATACCAATTGTCAGGTATAAGTTGTCTGTAAGGATTTATCATTGTTCTCTTTAAGATAAACTTCACTGGAGACTATATGAACACATATGGAGTTCAATAAAGATGTGTGATTTCTATCCTCTTTTTGCCACTACTTTTTGGTTTTAAAAAAAAGTTGCGTTCATTGTTAAAGACTGCATGTTTTTTTAATGTATTTTAAAGTCAGATTGTAAAAAGGAGATTTAAATTTGGTCCCATACAGAACAAAATTCAGTTTGGGTCAGACTGTTAAGCTCGTCACAAACTGTACACTGGATCTGGTGCATATATTTACACACAGCATTAATGACAAACACAAAATAACACATTACATGTCAAAGCAGTCGTTTAACTCTCACATTAAGCAAATTTCAAGAACCGCCTTCTTTCACCTTCGTAATATTGCAAAAATTAGGAGCATCCTGTGTAAAAATGATGCAGAAAAACTAGTCCATGCATTTGTTACTTCTAGGCTGGATTACTGCAATTCCTTGTTATCAGGGTCTTCAAAAAAGTCCATTAGGACTCTTCAGCTGATCCAGAATGCTGCAGCACGTGTTCTTACAGGAACCAGAAAAAGAGATCATATTTCTCCTGTCTTGGCTACTTTGCACTGGCTTCCTGTTAAATCCAGAATAGAATTTAAAATCCTTCTCCTTACGTATAAAGCTCTTCATGGTCAGGCCCCATCTTATCTTAAAGAGCTTTTAGTACCTTACTGCCCTACCAGAGAACTGCGCTCCCAGAATGAAGGGTTACTGGCAGTTCCTAGAGTCTTGAAAACTAGAATGGGCGCTAGAGCGTTCGGCTATCAGAGTCCTCTTTTGTGGAACCAGGTTCCAGTTTGGGTCCGGGAAGCAGACACCGTCTCTATATTTAAGAGTAGGCTTAAGACTTTCCTTTATGATAGAGCTTATAGTTAGAGTAAGTCCACCCCTGGTTGTGCTGCTATAGGCCTAGACTGCCGGGGGATGCATCATGATGCACCGAGCTCCCCTTTCCTTTCTCTCTCTCCCTCCCGGTGCAACCTCATTCCATTAACAATGTTACTAACTGGACTCTCTCCCTTCCCCGTAGTCGTGTGCTTTCTCGTCCCCCCTCTCTCTTCTCTCTCTTCCTAACACTTTCTGCAGATATTCCTGGCTCTGGAGCTGTGGGGTCTGGATCTGTGGTTGGGAGTCTCCTCCTATCACTTCCTGCAGGTGTTCCTAGAGCTGTGGAGTCTGGATCTGTGGTTGGGAGTTTCCTGCTGCCCCCATGTTCCTGCTCATCATTAGCATTAATATCATTGCCATTTTTAATCTATTCTACGTGTTGCTGTGTTGGCTGCCCCTCTCTGCTCCTTCTGTCCTTCTCTCGCCCTCTCTCTCTCTCTCGCTCTCTCTTTCCCCTCACCCCCAACCGGCCGAGGCAGATGGCCGCCCACCCTGAGCCATGGTTCTGCTCAAGGTTTCTGCCTGTTAAAAGGAAGTTTTTCCTTGCCTGTGTCGCCTAGTGCTTGCTCATGGTGGGAATTGTTGGGTTTCTGTAGTTAACTTCAGAGTAGGGTCTGACCTGCTCTGTTTGGAAAGCGCTGTGAGACAACTGTTGTTGTGATGTGGCGCTATATAAATAAAATTGAATTGAATTGAATTGAAAGCATAGACCTTTCACACACACACATGCACTGTGTGTGATTTTTTACATCTTGAACACATTATCTCAATTTTCTTCCAGATAACTTTTGCATACAAATACAACTCTCAAATGTGGTGCATACTTTTCAGAAACTGGATTTAAAAATCCTACCTCAGACAAGTCTATCACTTATTTATGCAACATATATAGTGCAAAGTTTATTACTGGCAAGTATATAATGTGATCATGCTTTTTTTTTTCCCCCATTATATATATTTCCATTTTTATTTTATATTTTTATATGTGTATGTTCTACCAGTCTGTGATAGCCAGTGTCCTCTTCTACACCGTGGTGTGCTGGGGAGTTAGCACATCCAAGAAGGACACGTCCAGACTGGACAAACTGATCAGGCGGGCCGGCTCCGTGGTCGGAATGAAGCTGGACTCTCTGGTGATGGTGGCAGAGGCCAGGACACTGAACAAACTGATGGACATCATGGCCGACAGCAGCCACCCTCTGCACACCGTCATCAGCAGCCAGAGGAGCCTGTTCAGTGACAGACTGCTGCTTCCCAAGTGCCGGACCAATACACTTAAGAACTCTTTTGTCCCCCACGCCATCAAACTGTACAACGCCTCACTCGGGTCGAGGAGGTTACACAGGACAGGGGAAAACGATATTACATACACTGTACTTAATCTGTATTTTTTGTATTTTTATTTATTTATTTTTATTTTTTTGCTTAATTTAATTCTAACTTAATACTTTTTGCCCTTTAAGCTGCTGGTAACCTTAATTTCCTGAGGGAGTCTTCCCAAGGGATCAATAAAGTACTGTCTAAGTCTAAGTCTAAGTCTAAGTCTATTTCTGTCTTTAAACCAATGGGTTCAAATCGTTTTATGCTGTCTCCCCAAAATTGTCTTGTTTAAAGTTTCAAAGAAGTAGATTAAAAATCATGCAGAAAAGTGGCTCGTTAAGATGAAAAATTGATAAAACGAAATAAATTACATGTCCTACATACCAACTTAGGAATTAAAACAACCACAAAAATTATTGTTTTGTTTTTTTGCCAAATGTATAATAAATTTAATATCAGGCAAAAGTATAATAGATTTTCCTAAGAAGGCAATTAATATGCTTGATACCAAGTTTTATTAAGATCTTGAAGAACTGGTCGTTTTTTTCTTTTAGATAGTAAATTAAGCTTTGATTAAGCTTAATGAATCTTTATGTGCTTTGACAGGTTTGTTTTGGTTGAGTAGCTGTGACTAGTGCGTGGCCTGTTTTGTCATTACACACAAAGAAACGAGGCAAACTTAACCTTCCGCGTTAAAATGACCCTTTGACAGCAGTGTTTCTTTGGATAAATTTCCCTTTGACCACTAGGAGTCAATGTGCATC